TGTTTATATCTTACCCTAACTGCCTCCTCTTTAGTTTATAAACCTTCACCTCTCTCTCCCTGATGCTTCTATTCTCCTTGTATCCCCATCTACCTTTTACTCTCAGTGTAACTACAACTAGAAAGTGATCTGATATATCTGTGGCCCCTCTATAAACATGTACTTCCTGAAGTCTACTCAACAGTCTTTTATCTACCAATAACATAATCCAACAAACTACTGTCATTTCGCCCTACATCATATCTTGTATACTTATTTATCCTCTTTTCTTAAAATATGTATTACCTATAATTAAACCCCTTTCTATACAAAGTCCAATCAAAGGCTCCCATTTTCATTTACACCTGGCACCCAAACTTACCTACCACACCCTCTCTAAAGTTTCTCCTACTTTAGCATTCAGGTCCCCTACCACAATTACTCTCTCACTTGGTTCAAAGGCTCCTATACATTCACTTAACATCTCCCAAAATCTCTCTCTCTCCTCTGCATTCCTCTCTTCTCCAGGTGCATACACGCTTATTATGACCCACTTTTCGCATCCAACCTTTCTTTAACCCCACATAATTCTTGAATTTACACATTCATATTCTCTTTTCCCCTTCCATAACTGATCCTTCAACATTACTGCTAACCCTTCCTTTGCTCTAACTCTCTCAGATACTCCAGATTTAATCCCATTTATTTCCCCCCACCGAAACTCCCCTACCCCTTTCAGCTTTGTTTCGCTTAGGGCCAGGACATCCAACTTCTTTTCATTCATAACATCAGCAATCATCTGTTTCTTGTCATCCGCACTACATCCACGCACATTCAAGCATCTCAGTTTTATAAAGTTTTTCTTCATCTTTTTTAGTAAATGTCTACAGGAGAAGGGGTTACTAGCCCATTGCTCCCGGCCTTTTAGTGAATGCACATAAAAAGCCCAAAAAATCTGGAATTCATTACCTGTAAATATAAAAGACACACTGTCTGTTTATAAATTCAAGTCTCTTCTTAAAAATCACTTACTCACCTACAACTAAATAAATACTGAATAATTATATCTCATAAATGTTTAACCTGTGGCCCAATCAAACTTTGTTATTTTTTAATTACATTACCTAACAGAATACTCCTTTGTACTGAATGCACAGCAACACAGTAAATGACCATATGACCTGTCTTTAACCCTTTGACTGTCGCAACCCACAATTCTGAGGTGTCTCCTGGTGTCGCAAAATTTAAAAAAAAAAAAAAAAATTTCTTATGAAATGATAGAGAATCTTTTCCCGATTGCAATGACACCAAAAAAACAAAATTTGATGGAAAACTGACGGAATTATGCTCTCGCAAAGTTAGCGACCTCGGCGTTGTTTACAAATCGGCGATTTCGCCCACTTTGAGCCCTATTTTCGGCTAATTTCCTTGTTCCAGTCGCCCAATCTCATAGCTATTTCTTTAGAACTCCATTTTTTTATCGATTGAGTACAAGAAACTGCCCATTTACCGATTTCAACTACCTAATAATGTGGTCAGAAATTTGCAATTTTGCCAATTTCACGAAAACTAAAAAATATGACAATTTCAAAATAAGGTCCAGAATGAACAATGCAGACATTCCTGGTTCTAAAATAACATTTTCTTTGTTCATCAGTCACGTCTCCAGGCCCCTCTGATATTACTCTTGCTTTTCATTTTGAATTTTTATTCAAACAAAAAATAGAAGACTTACTATTATGCAGACTACTGCAATACTGTAATAATTGTATAAATAACATCAACCCATTCATGACTGCATATTAGAATGGCTATTTGGACATTTATTGGACAATGGCATCATTTGTTTACCTTTGAACATTGGCAAAAATCAAACATTTCCCCTACTTTGAGCTCCATTTCTAGGTTCTTTTTATAGTAAAATGAATCAAAATCACCTCCATTTCTATAATATGTTTTCCATTCTATCAAATGAGACCAAGAAAACGAGAATACAACCATAAGTACTATACGAAAATAGACCACAAAATCTGCATTTTAATTAAAAAAAAAAACGGTCGGAGTTTTTTTTTTTCTCATTATGCACTGCGTGCTCCAGGATTTTTTTTATATGGTGCACACTGACCACACAGACCCATTCTCTCAAATGTGGGCCTACCAGCTTTCTCCTACTTGATTTGAAGCCGCTAGAATTTATGAGCATTTTATTTTTTTTATTATCACACTGGCCGATTCCCACCAAGGCAGGGTGGCCCGAAAAAGAAAAACTTTCACCATCATTCACTCCATCACTGTCTTGCCAGAAGGGTGCTTTACACTACAGTTTTTAAACTGCAACATTAACACCCCTCCTTCAGAGTGCAGGCACTGTACTTCCCATCTCCAGGACTCAAGTCCGGCCTGCCGGTTTCCCTGAATCCCTTCATAAATGTTACTTTGCTCACACTCCAACAGCACGTCAAGTATTAAAAACCATTTGTCTCCATTCACTCCTATCAAACACGCTCACGCATGCCTGCGGAAGTCCAACCCCCTCGCCCCACAAAACCTCCTTTACCCCCTCCCTCCAACCCTTCCTAGGCCGACCCTACCCCGCCTTCCTTCCACTACAGACTGATACACTCTTGAAGTCATTCTGTTTCGCTCCATTCTCTCTACATGTCCGAACCACCTCAACAACCCTTCCTCAGCCCTCTGGACAACAGTTTTGGTTTAATCCCGCACCTCCTCCTAACTTCCAAACTACGAATTCTCTGCATTATATTCACACCACACATTGCCCTCAGACATGACATCTCCACTGCCTCCAGCCTTCTCCTCGCTGCAACATTCATCACCCACGCTTCACACCCATATAAAAAGCGTTGGTAAAACTATACTCTCATACATTCCCCTCTTTGCCTCCAAGGACAAAGTTCTTTGTCTCCACAGACTCCTAAGTGCACCACTCACTCTTTTTCCCTCATCAATTCTATGATTCACCTCATCTTTCATAGACCCATCCGCTGACACGTCCACTCCCAAATATCTGAATACGTTCACCTCCTCCATACTCTCTCCCTCCAATCTGATATTCAATCTTTCATCACCTAATCTTTTTGTTATCCTCATAACCTTACTCTTTCCTGTATTCACCTTTAATTTTCTTCTTTTGCACACCCTACCAAATTCATCCACCAATCTCTGCAACTTCTCTTCAGAATCTCCCAAGAGCACAGTGTCATCAGCAAAGAGCAGCTGTGACAACTCCCATTTTGTGTGTGATTCTTTATCTTTTAACTCCACGCCTCTTGCCAAGACCCTCGCATTTACTTCTCTTACAACCCCATCTATAAATATATTAAACAACCACGGTGACATCACACATCCTTGTCTAAGGCCTACCTTTACTGGGAAAAAATTTCCTCTTTCCTACATACTCTAACTTGAGCCTCACTATCCTCGTAAAAACTCTTCACTGCTTTCAGTAACCTACCTCCTACACCATACACTTGCAACATCTGCCACATTGCCCCCCTATCCACCCTGTCATACGCCTTTTCCAAATCCATAAATGCCACAAAGACCTCTTTAGCCTTATCTAAATACTGTTCACTTATATGTTTCACTGTAAACACCTGGTCCACACACCCCCTACCTTTCCTAAAGCCTCCTTGTTCATCTGCTATCACTATTCTCCGTCTTACTCTTAATTCTTTCAATTATAACTCTACCATACACCTTACCAGGTACACTCAACAGACTTATCCCCCTATAATTTTTGCACTCTCTTTTATCCCCTTTGCCTTTATACAAAGGAACTATGCATGCTCTCTGCCAATCCCTAGGTACCTTACCCTCTTCCATACATTTATTAAATAATTGCACCAACCACTCCAAAACTATATCCCCACCTGCTTTTAACATTTCTATCTTTATCCCATCAATCCCGGCTGCCTTACCCCCTTTCATTTTACCTACTGCCTCACGAAATACATCATATATACATCAAACACTGTACCTCGTAAGACGTATATATACGGCCGCGACAGTCAAAGGGTTAAAATACTCATTTGTGCTTAATTGTTATCTGTTTACAATAATGTTTACCACTGAATATATCATTGCTTAGTTAATCTTAGTTAATTTTAAGCCTGCCCATAATGCTCTGCATACAAGGGGCTTTGGCATGTTACACTTAATCACCGTATTTCTTAGTACTTCTATGTATCATGTTCAAATTAATAAATAAATAAAATAAAAAATTAGTCAGTTTGATGGCAGAGATGCTGGCAGAGGTTTAGGGTGGTGGAAGATATGCAGGGTGGCACATGTACAGTGGCCCTCTAGACCTCCAACAACATTGGAGAGTTACTTTCGTGTCCCTTTTCTATCACTTAATCATTTAACTTACTTGCTACACAGTTAATGCTACACTTTATCACTGGCTGGCGCTATAGTCTTTATCAACTCCTGCTGCTTCAGTATCGTACATATCGTAAAATCACTGAATCACTGAAGAAGGCACATTCTTCCCTCTCTCTTCCTCCTCCACTTTGGTACTTTGCTACGAGTTTTTTCTTTAATTCCATAGTGTTTCTCGCCTACTTTACCAAAAGGATGGCACTAGGAGCTTTCTTTGAGCCCATGGTGGATTATTTAGCAGTTGCAAGAACAAAAAACAGTGGAATATTATAAAATGTATCTTATGAACGAGTGGGGTGATGGTCACTTGCCGAGAAACAATGCTACACTGACTCTGAATGGTATGTGGGGCACCTCTGTGTGCGCGCAGACTCTGGGAGGCCGCTCGGACGCGTTCTGTACGACCGACGAATGATAGGCAAATCATGAAATGAGAGGCTATATTTTGACGAAAAAAGTTGCCGAAAGGTGAAATTCATGAAGCACGGGACTCACAAAACTCGGGGGTCCACTGTACCTCCCTGGCTGGTGCATGAAATTACTACTGACTCTTGATGATAAAATGTTATTAGATGTTTGTTTAAAGGAATATAATTAAATTTTAGTAATTAACTTACCTGTAGGTCATGTCTAGGATATTTGCGAGAGAGAGGAGCCGGGGGAGGAGAGCGTCGTAGAGCAGAGGATTTCTGAATCCCTGATGATGATTTCTGAGCCACCGATGATTTCTGAACCCCTGATGATGACTTCTGAACCCCCAATGATGATTTCTGAGCAGGGGATGGCGATTTCTGAACCACTGAAGATGATTTCCGAGCTGGGGACGATTTCTGAACGGTAGTTGATGATTTTTGAACTAGAGGTGAAGATTTGGAACCTTCGGTGCCTGTGGGAAACGTGAGGCTGGCAGGAGAGACACGAACCTGAGGAACATCTTGTAGCATCAAGAAGTGAACAAGATGGTGATATATATATATACAGTCTACTCACCTCTCTGATAAAACACCTATATACAGTCACTTCTCTTATAAAGCTCCTCTATAAAACACTTTAAAAAGCACATCTATATAAGCACACCTCTCTCATAAAACTCCTTCATATACAGTCAATTCTCTTATAAGGCTCTTCTATATACAGTCAGTTCACTTATAAAATTTCTCTGTATACATTCACCTCTCTTATAAAAGCTCCCCAAAATACAGTCAGCTTTATTATAAAACTCCTCTATATATAGTCAGTTCTCTTATATAGCTCCTCAATATACAGTCATTTCTCTTACCGAGCTCCTCAATATATAATCAGTTCTCTATATATAGAGGAATTCTATAGTTCCTCTATATATAGTCAGTTCTCTTATAAAGCACCTCTATATACAGTCTACTCTGTTATGAAGTTCCTCAATATTTTATTTTTTTATTATCACACTGGCCGATTCCCACCAAGGCAGGGTGGCCCGAAAAAGAAAAACTTTCACCATCATTCACTCCATCACTGTCTTGCCAGAAGGGTGCTTTACACTACAGTTTTTAAACTGCAACATTAACACCCCTCCTTCAGAGTGCAGGCACTGTACTTCCCATCTCCAGGACTCAAGTCCGGCCTGCCGGTTTCCCTGAACCCCTTCATAAATGTTACTTTGCTCACACTCCAACAGCACGTCAAGTATTAAAAACCATTTGTCTCCATTCACTCCTATCAAACACGCTCACGCATGCCTGCTGGAAGTCCAAGCCCCTCACACACAAAACCTCCTTTACCCCCTCCCTCCAACCTTTCCTAGGCCGGCCCCTACCCCGCCTTCCTTCCACTACAGACTGATACACCCTTCCTCAGCCCTCTGGACAACAGTTTTGGTAATCCCGCACCTTCTCCTAACTTCCAAACTACGAATTCTCTGCATTATATTCACACCACACACTGCCCTCAGACATGACATCTCCACTGCCTCCAGCCTTCTCCTCGCTGCAACATTCATCACCCATGCTTCACACCCATAAAAAGCTTTGGAAAAACTAACTCTCATACATTCCCCTCTTTGCCCCCAAAGGGACAAATTCTTTTCTCCACAGCCCCTAGTCCCACCATTTTTTTTCCCCATAAATTTCTAGATTCCCCCCCATCTTTCAAACCCATCCGCTGACCGTCACCCCAAATATCTAATACTTCACCTCCCCATACCCCTTCCCTCCAATCGTATTCAATCTTTCATCACCTAATCTTTTTTTATCCTCATAACCTTACTCTTTCCTGTACCCCTTTTAAATTTTCTTTTTTTGCAACCCTACCAAAATTCATCCACCAATCTCTAAAATTCTCTTCAAATCCCCAAGAGCACAGTGCCCCTCAGCAAAGAGCAGCGTGACAACTCCCACTTTGGTGGTTTTCTTTATCTTTTAACTCCACGCCTCTTCCCAAAGACCCTCGCTTTACTTCCTTACAACCCCCATCTATAAATATATAAACACCACGGTGACTCACACTCCTTGTCTAAAGGCCTACTTTTACGGGGAAAAAATTTTCCCTCTTTCCTACAAACCCAATTTAGCCTCACTATCCTGTAAAAAACCCTTCACTGCTTTCAAAACCCTACCTCCTACACCATACCTTGCAACATCCCCCACTTTGCCCCCAATCCCCCCCATACCCCTTTTCCAAATCCATAAATGCCACAAGACCTTTTTTAGCCTTATCTAAATACTGTTCATTTAATTTTTCACTGTAAACACCGGGTCCACACCCCCCTATTTTTCCAAAGCCCCCTTTTTTCATCTGTTTTTACCCTATTCCCCCGTTTTACTTTAATTTCTTTAAATTATAACTTACCAAAAATTTTACCAGTACCCCAAACAACTTATCCCCCTATAATTTTTGCACTCTCTTTACCCCTTTTTCCCTTTTAAAAAGGGAACTTGCATCTCTCGCCAATCCCTAGGTCCCTTACCCTTTCATACTTTTAAAAAACAATTGCACAACCACTCCAAAATAATCCCCACCGCTTTAAAAAATTTCTATCTTTATCCCACTCCCGGGTGCCCTTACCCCCTTTCTTTTTCCCACTGCCTCACAACTTCCCCCACACTCACAATGGGTTTCCTCACTCCTACAATGTTTTCCCCCTTGCCCAACACAAAATCACAGCTTCCCTATCTTCATCAACATTTAACAAATTTTTCCCCCAAAAAATTCCTTTCCCTCTTCCCAAACCTCTAAAATCTCCATTTAATAACCCCCTCCCTATTTTTTAAAGACAAACCCTTTGTTCTCTAGGTTTCTTTAAATTGTTAAACTCACTCCAAAAATTTTTCTTTTTTTTCAACAAATTTGTTGATTTTGTTTAAATTTTTTCAATGTGGGGTGTATTGTTCGAAAATTTTGTTTTTTATATAATTTTTGAAAAAATATCAAAGATGGATTAATGAAAATTTGTATATTAATGTAATATAAGACATTTAATGAGACTCATTGATTATTACCGAGTATTATTATTATCATTACCAATATTGCGTCTCGAGACATAAGACACTCTTACTGATTTTAACCCTTTGAGGGTTTCGGACATGCTAGTACGGCTTACGACCCAGGGTTTTTGACATACTAGTACGCCTAAATTCTAGCGCCCTCAAATCTAGTGGGAGAAAGCTGGTAGGCATTCATATGAAAGAATGGGTCTATGTGGTCAGTGTGCACAGTCTAAAAAAAATCCTGCAGCACACAGTGCATAATGAGAAAAAAAAACTTTGACCATTTTTTTGGAACAAAACAGCGACTTTGCACTGTATTTTCGTATGGTATTTATTGTTGTATTCTAGTTTTCTTGGTGTCATTTTATAGAATGGAAGACATATTACAGAAATTGAGATGATTTTGACTGGTTTTACAATGAAAGGTACCTTGAAATTGAGCTCAAAGAAGCAGAAATGTTCGATTTTTACCAAATTTCAAAAGTAAACAAATCGTGCCAAGCGTGCAATACACGTCAATTGGTGAGTCTACTATTCTTTCACAAGTGCACCAATAATATTTATACCATTTTTTACGCTAATGCAGTAGTCTGCATAACAGTAAATCTTATATTTTTTGTGAGAATAAAAATTCAAAGTGGAAAGCAAAAGAATATAAGAGGGGCCTTGAGACATGACTAATGACCAGAGGAAATGTCATTTTAGTGCCAGGAATGTCTTTCTTGTTTATTCTGGACCCTATTCAGAAATTGGCATCTTTTGAAATTTGTGTGAAATTGGCAAAATTGCTAAATTCTGACCACTGTACTGGATAGTTGAATTTCATAAATGGGTGGTTTCTTGCACCCATTCGATAGAAAAAATGGAGTTCTAGCGAAATGTTCATGTTTTTTGTCGACTAGTACAGTGGAATTGGCCGAAAATGGGGCTCAAAGTGGGCAAAATCGCCGATACATAAACATCGCCGAGACCGCTAACTTTGCGAGAGCATAATTCCGTAAGTTTTCCATCAAATTTCAAACTTTTGGTGTCCTTATGATCGGGAAAAGATTCTCTATCTTTTCATAAGAGAAAATAATTTTTTTTTTAATTTGGCCGACCCTGAGAACGAGTTTCGGAGAGGGCCTGTCGACCCTCAAAGGGTTAATGTGTACCTGCACGCCAGCACAGTGGGTAAGTTTACTTAGGTACAGGTACACATAAGTATAATTAACCTTTTGACTGTCGCAACCCCCAATCCTGAGGTGTCTCCTGGTGTCGCAAAATTTAAAAAAAAAAAATTATTTTTTCTTATGAAATGATAGAGAATCTTTTCCCGATTGTAATGACACCAAAAAAAAAAAAACAAAATTTGATGGAAAACTGATGGAATTACGCTCTCGCAAAGCTAGCGACCTCAGTGATATTTACAAATCGGAGATTTCGCCCACTTTGAGCCCAATTTTCGGCTAATTCCATTGTTCCAGGCGACCAAACTCATTGCTATTTCTTTAGAATTCCGTTTTTTCTATCGACTGAATACAAGAAACTGCCCATTTACTGATTTCAACTACCCAATAATGTGGTCAGAAATTTGCAATTTGGCCAATTTCACGAAAATTAAAAAATATGACAATTTCAAATTAAGGCCCAGAATGAACAATGCAGACATTCCTGGCTCTAAAATAACATTTTCTTTGTTCATTAGTCATGTTTCCTGGCTCCTCTGATATTACTCTTGCTTTCTATTTTGAATTTTTCTACAAACAAAAAATAGAAGATTTTCTGTTATGCAGACTACTGCAATACTGTAATAATTGTATAAATAACATCAACCCATTCATGACTGCATATTAGAATGGCTATTTGGACATTTATTGGACAATGACATAGTTTGTTTACTTTTGAACATCAGCAAAAATCAAACATTTCCCCTATTTTGAGCTCCATTTCCAGGTTCTTTTTATAGTAAAATCAATCAAAATCACCTCTATATCTATAATATGATTTCCATTCTATCAAATGAGACCAAGAAAACGAGAATACAACCATAAATACTATACGAAAATAGACCACAAAGTCGGCATTTAAAAAAAACGGTCTGAGTTTTTTTTCTCATTATGCACTGCGTGCTCCAGGATTTTTTTTATATGGTGCACACTGACCACACAGACCCATTCTCTCACGTGTGGGCCTACCAGCTTTCTCCTACTTGATTTGAAGCCGCTAGAATTTATGCGTATATATACGTCAAACACGGAACCTTGTAAGATGTACAATATATACGGCCGCAACAGTCAAAGGGTTAATAGAGTACAGTGGACCCCCGCATACCGTTGGCATCACATAACATTAAATCCGCATAGCAATACATTTTATCACTAAAATTTTGCCTAGCATAGCACTACAAAACTCGCTCAACGCTATTCGTCCGAGACACGTCTATGTGAGGCCTGAGCCAGACTCACATGTTCCGCCGGTGCCATTGTTTACAAGTCAGCCTCTGCGGTAACATCCAA